TTTGGAGTGAACGACGATCAACTTATAATGATCACAGTCAAATTTACAGTCCTATAATGGAGCAGACGGTTTAGTCTCATTGCCATTTACAATGGAGTGAGGTGTGCTTCATGATGCACGATATACAAATAACTAATGTATAGTGTACAAATAACACGTTTCATGTAATCTTGATCACAACAAGTCTCTGATTAAAGCACAATTATTTTAAAAAGAATATAAGATTTTGTGAAATTTGTTGAAACTTTTTTATTTTTTCAGAAGATCTTCAAAGTCATTTTTTCTTATAGAATCGATACAAACACATGTTTTATATTTGTTTTCAGAAAAACACTTTTACAATGTCTTCTTTCCTGCTTACATATCCTTCATTTCTCAAATTTTGTTGAAAATTTTCTTTACTTTTATTGATTTGAAAAGTTGAATTTTAGTTTTGAGATAAGATTTCTAGAAGTGGGATTAAATCAAGGATCCTGATTTAGCCAAAAATGTTTATAAAAATATAAACAACATTTAGAAAAAATATTGTATTCCCCTAAAAATCAGTAGTCCCAAATAAAAATAAATGAAGGAAAAAGAAAAAAGCCACTTGCATATCATATTCTAGAAAATGATATTGTCATGAGAAATTCTATTCCCCGAGAAATAGTAGAGAAATAGGACTATTCACCTTATGAAATCATCTTTTTCTCTAGCCAAAGCACCATTGCAGATATGAAAAAAGTGTGATTCAGTCATAGACTCATAGCTAAAGATTTAGGCGATTAAGAATAAGAGCGAAAATCAAATATTCTGGCTTGCTAACACTTTATGCTTGGTACAAATAAAGAGTTTTTGTGACTTTCTCTCTACATAATTTTGGTTTTTTCCATTTATGGGCTATTTGTTATTCCATTGATAAACACAACAAAAACAATTTGAAGAGACCATTGTTTCATATTGGTCTTTTGGGGTTCTATTAACTACAATTAAGGGTCGCAATTGGCCGGGCTAGCCTTAGCCCTAGCCTTGCTCTTATCGCCACAGGGTCAACCGAAGGTCGACCGTGGCCTTGTTAGGGCTGCATCAAAAATAAATGAAGAAAAATAAAAGCAAAAACAAGAAAAAAAGATGGCCTGCCAGGAGGGGACGGGCCAGCACTGGCCTTGCCCTACTTTTTTATGGTTGAGCTGACATGTCTGGTCCGGGGCACTTGGCCCATTGCTATTAGCCCTAACTGTGCCCTAACTGCAATCCTAGACTAAGTTACCTTGGGTTTTTGTTCTTATTCCTCGTTGCATGAAATCATTGCCCTATTTTATTTTCGCGTTGTTATTGTTTTTTCATTGTAATAATTGAATTGAACTTTATTTTGTGTTCTTTTCACATACATGAATTTCCTCATCTATTTTTTTGAGCCAAATCTAAAATATTCACAATTTCTTTAACTTACCTAGTTTTTCTGATGCATATTTTTAATATGATTTTTTTGCCTGTATTTTTAAACTAAAACGAACTTTTGGATTTGTTAATATACTTCTATTCCATGATTTGCTAACTACCATACCAACTATACTTAATAATGGACCATTTTGGAGATGTTTTTCGCTTGAGTAAACGGTGGAAAACTCGAGCAAAGCAAAAATTCATCTCAATTAGGGCTGGAAATGGGTCAAGTCGGTTCACCTCAATTAACATCTAATTAACATATATCTATACGTATCTTATGTATAACAGGTCAGGTTGGGGTTGGGCTGATCTCAACCCGAATATGACCCAACCCTATAGAGTCCAAGATGGATGCGGAGCCAACTTGGGTCAAGTCAAGGTCAAGTGGACCCAGATCCAACCCATTGGGTCCATTCTCTAGGGCTAGACCCAGACCCAGTCAGGGCGACCACTGGGTCCACGGGTCAAGCTGACCCATTTCCCATCCCCAATCTCAATCATCTAATATTGAGCACAAGTCGTTGATATTATATGCAACATTGTATATGTACGTAACACATATGTAGTAGAAAAATTACATGACTTATAAAGTATTAAGTGACATACTATTGTTTGTCTCCTAAATATTGGCAAGAGGGCTTTGCACATGTAACGACCCAAAAAATTTTTGAGTCGGAGAAAAGAAAAGGACACGCACGACAGGGAGTATGAGGCAATACCGTTTGAAGAGGGGAGAGTGAGGCAGATCCGTGTGTGAATAGAGGAAAGAGGTAACGCCGCGTCTGTCAAAGGAGGAACGCCGTGGAAAAAATGGACTAACGCCGGCTGTGAAATAAGGGGGTAGCACCGTGTATGAAGAGAAATTAGCGTTGCGCATGTCGAAGAGGCAACGCCATGCGTGCAAAGGACCATCGCCGCGAGTGACAAGAATTAGCGTCGTGCGTGCTTGAGGATGCCACCGTGCAATGGGTGGGCTACCGTGTGTGATGTGGGCCGTCGGGTGGAGCTGTATAGGGTAGTCCAAGGGACTTCCTCTTCTTTTGTCTTATGTTATACACTACTTGTCCCTTGCTTGTTCTTTAGTGTGCCGTGAGATTGCCTTCCAAGAATGTGCCATGTGGAGGCCCTTGATGTCACTTGTTGATGCATGCATGCTGCCCCTTTTGTTTTATTATTTATTCACCCCTTCACATCTCTCTCAAGAGGTTGCTCCCTCTTAGCCATGTTTTCCAACATTGAGAAGCTATTTCAGACCCTTTGAGCTTTTGGGAGAACTTAGTGAGATGTGTGAAAGCTTGAGAAGCTTGGAGAAAAGTGAGTTGTGTGAAGGATTTGGGATCACCATTAGAGCACACAAGGTAAGTAGATTATGCTATTATATGTCCATAGTATGGAGCATGTTTCTTAAGCATGAAAGTATGAGATTTAAGCATGAATGAAGTATTGAATTAAGCATGAGTTAGGTTTTGAGTATTTATAGAAATTGTCTGAATGGGTGCGTGCAGCGCTTGTGAGAGCAATTTGTACACTTATTCTTTTGCGCAGATGAAGATTTATTTGACCTCAAAATTGAGAAATTGCCTTCGAATCAATAGGCAAATTATAATGTTAAAAGAATATACAGACAATGTAGAGACAAAAACATTATTGATTACTTAAACATATAGATAGGACCGTCTAAAAATATAGACACTATTTCAGTTTTACGGCGCAACTTTTTTAAGCAGGTATATATGCTACCCTGGTTCCAAAGGGTGATGTAGTTTCGGCTCTTGAGAAGCATGCATTCTTTTCCCATAATTATAAACCTTTCTCAACTACCTAACTATTTTAAGATATGATCCTCATGGCTAAGATAAAAGGGGTCAACAATGAGAGTGCGTGTTGATTACAGGATTAACTAGAATGAGACTGCCACCTTTTGCACCAAAAGGTAATGACATCCAAGACCATCAGATGTGAATTTCGATGGCCTGAGAACCACACAGACTGCTTGAAAAAGTTTTATAAAACTTTTAGCATGGTGCACGACAGAACAAGATAAGCCATCAATTTCTCACTACAACCCAGGATATTTTAGGGGTGTTAGTTGGCTGGGTTGACCCGAGCCCAGCACACGACAAGATGGGCGCTATGAAGGGCATGGGGCACTATGAAGGGCATGGCCACAACTCATGTTAGGTCTGGCCTTCAAAGCCCTTTAGACAAGCTCAACCCATTTTCACCATGTTAAACCTAAGGAAAGAGTCTATATAAGGCGTGAACCTTGTTTATAGAAGTAAGGGGTGTTAAAAAACTTTCCAATTGATCATCTCGACTTTGGGTGTATGGATATAAAAAAAAAAAGAATTTTAAAGTCTTACAAAGAATATATCTTGCATCACATTATCTAGACCGTTAATTTTCTTAATTTTTAAATTTTTATAGATTTGTTTGATGTACATAATTTGTTGAGCTAAATTTCCTAAGTGAAAATGGATAATTAAGCTATTGTAAGGCTCTCCTGCATTGAAATTGCGTCTTTGAGCAAAAAAATTCAGATAGGCACTTAAATTATTTAATGTTGACACCTTATACAAAACCTCTCTCTAAACTAAACCTTCATATAATAACAGCCTTTGGAAGATTAGTTCAAAGCGCGCTGCTAAGCTAACGAGCCTTAAATTAAAGTTCGGCGAGGCCCAACAAGCCCTATAAAAGGGAACAAAACTTGGCGAGACATCGGCCGCCCCGAAGCCCATTTTCACCTTTGATATCTTCGGCCTTTTTCAATCAAAACTAGCATTCCATAGAGTTGAGGGTTGAGATAGGGACGGGGGCAATTTAGTCACACAAATTGCTCGACGGCATCTCCGCTATTTTGAAATTCTTGACAAAGTCACCTCCTTCTCTATGAAGTAATAGGGGTATTTTTGTAAATTTTTAGGGCAATTATGTAACGACCCGTGTAACAAATATTAGAAGATTGAAATCCAACGCCCCCAAGCTAGCATTATAAGGATTAGGCTTTACGAAAACAAATTGAAGTTTTAGGATAGCTTTAAAATCAATTTTCAATGGTTTACAATCAAATTTAAATTAAAATAATAATAAAAAATTTGTCGGTTTAAGATGAAAAAGACACTCTAGATAATTTGTTTCAATATACATTATTTTTTAAAATTTTAAATATTAATATTTTTTATTTTTTTAAAGGCATAACATGCAAGTCAAGTGATCCATGTAAAGATTTTCTATTACTTTGAATTATAAATTAGGATAATGATCGTACGAAACTTCTCACATCTATGTGTATAGAACTTTAAAGGATAACTTTTAAATTTAGTATAAATTTTTAAAAAAATTTGACATCGTATTAATGTGATAATTTTTGTAGAAATCTGTGCTAATTTTAACGATAATCTAATATTTCGAAGTTTATGATAAATTTTTTTTAAAAATATGGACCCAATGGTAATCCTTTGAAGTTCTTGTGGAATGGTATCGTAGGATCATTTCTCTACAAATTTATGATGAGTTGTAAAATGAGGATTCCCTTACTTAATAGGGCTGCCCTATCAAACTAAGTTTCAAACAAAAGAGAGGAGCTTAGTTAGGGAGTTGAGAGAGAGAGAGAGAGAGAAAGATGGAGGAATCTCATTACTTCCTGTCTAGAAAGAGAGAGAGAGGAAGACCGTGCAAATTCATTAAAAGTTAATATTTGCCTTTGTGTTTTTCAATTCGAGCAGTGGGGTTGGGAGTTTGGTCAGATCTCCTGCATTTAGGCGTAGATCTCATTTTCGTATCCTCTCTCTCTTCCGGTGTCTCTCTCAGGACACGAATTCGCCCTTTCACATTTGAATTTCAGTATGAGCAATCCTAATTTGTGGATTCATCACCTCTCTTTGTAACCGGATCGCGTCTCAGAGCTTCACTTGGGTTCAATCATGGCTACAAGGAACCGGACCGTCCAATACAAGAAACACAGAGACGCCCTACGCCCTATTAGGGTTTCATCACCTACTTCTTCTGGGGCGCTTGTGATCGAATTGGAAAATGCTTCTCTCTGGAATCAAAATCGATCCTATGCTCCTCTCAGCACTGATGATCCAGGAAATTCCAGGTTCGTTCTATCCCATCTCTCCTTTCTCTCTCTCAAAAGCTGCAATTTTACCTGTGTAATTCAATGTAAAATTTATTCGAAAGTATATCTCATTGCTTGTCTCTTTACTGCTACTTCAGAACATGTTGAGATGCTTTTTTGTTTGATTTTGGAAGTCTATAATCTCTGTAGCTTTTGGATGTGGTTTTTTACTTGGCATTAATTAAACCTAGGTGAGTTTTATTTGCTGCATGGAAAATGATTAACTCATGAAATTTCTTCTCCTGAAAATAATAACGGCCAATGGAGATGATTCTCCTAAACTGAAACAATTGAATTGTCTGATCTTGGATATGCATTGAAGAATCGCCTGTCGGTTTGATCCCTGCTGAAATATTGCTAGTTTTGTGACACAAGGCCTGCATAATTTTAGCATCATGTAAATTGAAAAGAATACTATCATCATCTAATTGAGGTTCTCATGTACTACTGATTGTAAGGGCATTCTTTCATGGGAGGTGGAGTGGTTTCTCCAAGTGAACGATGTAACGAATGTGGTGTTGTGATTTGGGGTGCATATATCAATTGCTTTTGGAAAATCTGTCGGTGGAATTGTAACAGCACAGCAAAGGATATACCTCTATGCAAATTAGTTGTTTTCTTCTCTATACATTGTTGTTTTGAAGTGGACTTTGATCTGGTGCCACACTTATTGATGTGTAAGTCATCAGTTGTTGACTAATCTGTTAGGCTAACGGGTAACCATTTTATGTTCTGTCATATGTGATTTGTTCTTTATCTGCTCAAGACGCTGTATTTCCTTGGGAGATGTCACACATCGAATGGGATAAAGTTGATATGATACAAGCACATTACTTTCTTCATATGCCACTTTTTTTTGTCATATTGTTTTCCTCTTGAGTATTACTACTTATGGTGATGCTACTCATTTTAGCTCAAAAGGTGTATGGTTATCCACTTATGCGTTAGTAGAATATAGAAGTTCCTTTATACTCTCATCTAATTATTTGGAATTCCCTCTCCTTTTCCTCTTTAAAGAGTTGAAAATATAACCTAGATCTTGGTCTATCAGCAAGTACTAGATGACTATATGAGAGGAAAAGAAGCTGTGTAGAGGAAGAAGATGTTGGAACAGGGAGAGAGAGAGAAAAAAAGAAAATGTGTAGAGGAAGAAGATGTAGGAACAGGAGAGAGAGAGAGAGAGAGAGAGAGAGAGAGAGAGAGAGAGAGAGAGAGAGAGAGAGAGAGGAGTAGTAGTAGTAGTAGAGTAGAGAGTAGAGAGAGAGTAGAGTATAAGTAATAGTAGTACGTAGTAGTACGTACTACTACGTACTACTACTACTACTA